ACATTATCATTAAAATTTTGCACTAGCTTTCTACAAGTCTGAAAAGTTGATTTATTGATGTGCCTTTCATCCGCAAAAATTAATGATTTGGACCAGTATTTCTGAAGGAAGACAGTGCCACCGTGTCATCTATTTAATGAGGAGTCAGAGACAGAGCTGGATAGAAGCAAAAGAATAGACGGGATAAGACAGTGCATTTTGTATTACTTTCATTCTTCTTACTTTGCATTGAAAACCAACATGTCTTTATTCCCCTTTAAAAACTCCTTGCTTTGTGTGTTCTATCCTATATATTTTTAATTCCAAGCTATAGTACTCTACTTAGATCAAATTTTGTCCCCAAAGTGATACAAAGCAGAAGTCTTTTTATTGCTTGTGTTTGTTTAACTTACAGGAATTTACTCGCTTTTTGTACCTTCTAATATGAAACATCTGCTCTACTTCCAAAAAATGCAACTAGATCATGATGCTTTAGTGGTTTGTTATGTGCCAGTTGCATGGGACTCATGGTGATCCTATGCACAGCAGATGTGAACCTAGTCTATCTTGAGCCAATTTCATTGTCTCTAACACACCTACAACCATTATGCCAGTCACTGAGTGAATCCATCTCATCCTGGGTCTTCCCTTGGCTGTCCCTCCACCCTTCCTAACACGATGTGCTTCTACAAGGACTGGTCTCTCCTGGAAACATGTCCAAAGTATGGGAGACAAAGTTTCAAAATCTTTGCCTTCAAAAAGCAGCCAGGTTTTACCCTCTCCAGGACAGACCTGTTTGTTCTCTTAGTAGTCCATAGTATGTTCAATATTCTTCTCCAGCAGCACAGCTCAAAGATATCGATTATTCTTCTATCATCTCTAGTCATTGATCAGCTCTCTAAACCATGACTTGAATCAGGCTCTAGACTGACATTCTTGCTCTTCAGTACTCTGGAGGGGTCCCTGACAGCTTCCCAATGAATTCATCTTTTGAATTCCTGACTAGAGGTGCCAAGAGTGTTGATTTTGGAACTAAGCCAGGTGAAGCTGTTAACAGTCTCAGTCTCTTCTCATCTATCAAAGTTCTGCCAATTGGCCCAGCGGTGAGAATCTTTGATTTCTTAGCGTTGAGTTTCAGTCCATATTGAAGGCTGTAGACCTTCATATTCTATACCAAACACTTCAGTTCCTCCTTAGTTTCAGCAAGAAGGTTGTGTCATCTACGTAATATAGGTTTTTGATTAATCTTCCTCCAGTCCTTGTGCCACATTCCTTCTCATAAAGTTGAGCTTCCCAAATGATCTGTTCTGCATAAAGATTGAAAAGATAGAATTCATTCCTTATATATACCTTTCCTGACCTTGAACCATACAATGTTTTCTTGCTCTGTTTTGATGACTGTCTCCTTGTCTAAGTATAGGTTTCACACGAGCATAATCAAGTATTTTGGGATTCCTATTCTTCTCAAGGTTAGTTATGATTTGTTGCGGTCAACATAGTCAAATGCCTTTCCATAGTCAATGAAATACAAATAGACATTCCTCTAGTATTCTCTGATTTCATTTAAGATTTTTTTTTTAACATTGGTTATAGTATCCCTGAAAGCAGGGAATACCAGAAGAATGTCTATCTGTGTTTCATTGATTATGCAAAGGTGTTTGACTGTGTGGATCATAACAAA